ATTTTTGTTTAGAAATGTCATCTGCAAAATTTGATATGCTTTAAAAAATGGGTTTATTTGATAAAGTTCAAGATTCCGATGAACCTACAGACTGAAAAGTACTATCCAGTTAGATAGTTGGTCGAAGTAATTCATTGTATTAAGATTTTTCTATAAAGATCGGAATTCAAAGTGACTAAGACTAGAAAAAATGCGCTGAGTAGAAATTAACAAGTCTCCAACGTTTTTTAACATTAATACAAATTTTTATTGTTTATTCTCTTCTTCAACTCATTCCTCACTTATTTGATCAATTTCATCATATTCATAATTTGTTTTCTTATTTCTTGTAAATTCCGTATTAAAAGTTGAAAACACTATGCATTAACTTCTGATGTACCATAGATTTTTACCTCAGAATTAAAATTTTTGATAAGCATTATCGAGCTATCTACTTATTGCCAATCGTATATTCCTGCAATGCACATATACAATTTGAATTATTAAAGATGTCTCGCTAACATTTTTTGCCATAAATCAGAAATTTATATACATTTATACAATAAAAGCACAAATTCTGCCCAATGAATTTCTTTCTGTCTTAGTCATTTTGAATTCGGATCTTTATAGAAATATCTTTAAACAATGAGTTCCCTTGGCCATCCATATCACTAGATGGTACGTACACCAGGTTGTCGAATTCTTGAACTTTGTCAATTAAAAACCATTTTTCAAACATATCGAATACAGTAGATGATATTTTTAAATCAATCTGTTTGTCTTTTTTAATGTATTATAATCAATAATCTCCAAACTTATTTAAAAGATTCGAGTTAAATACGAAGTTTATAGAAATGGATCCAACCAAACGGAAGAATAATACCTTTTACCAGACCTTAAAAAAGTTAATTGACGCGGTGTATATAGTAAACGATACTGCGAAAAGAGATGTAAAACTCGCGGAAGAGTATAATAAAAAGTCCACCAAAAACCAAAACCAAAAGCAATTTATATTACAAGTTATTTAAAAAAAAAACTGTTTTATAATTCCTAAATAAAAATATTCAATTTTTTTAGGTCGATATATTATAATTGTCTTTAATTGCCTTAGTTTATGTAAAAATAAAAAAAAACTCTATCCAGGATGTTCGAAACAATCATTAATGGATCCATTTTTACTGTGAACAAATTTAAGTGTAAATAAAGAAAAGTGCATCAAATTCATTTTTTTTTTCAATGAGATAATATGAAAGTGATAATATATCATATCTACTAATATATCGACATAAATCCTATTGTAACATTAAATCAATAGTTCTAATTAAGTTTTTATTAATAACCTTTTTTTTAGGAAATTAAATTCTATATTATTTTTATATTAAACATTGTTTCATGTCTTTAACCATTTGACATATACGTTTTTTATGTTTATGTATATGTTTACCTTGTATTCAATAAATAATAAACATAATTTTTATCATACATAAATAGAAAAAACTTTTCATTAATATTCAAATAATTTTTTTCATTTGATAGAAAAGGGAATTGACCAATTATATGAATCAGCGGAAACGAGAATCGGCGGAAAAGGGAAAGTTACTTTTTTTCGAAAACCGGCTATTTCCTCACAAAATAGTAGCTGACCGATGGTGGCGACCAATTATAGAAAAATTACTCAATCTGTGGGAATGGCATGTTATTCTGCTGCCAATAACGATGCGTAACGCTGTCCGTTCTCATTTAAAAAATAGAGCTACCAAAGAGTCTTGTATTATTTTATGATCAGTGATATAGTTATTGAATTATTTGCGAAAAACCACAAAACTACCCTATTTCCCTTATTTTCAACCCTGTTGGAGAACGGGAAGGGAGTGAGTTATCATGACCAAAATTCACACAGATTACTTTTCATGGTAAAGAACAAAATAGGGGTGATCGGTTATCAGAAATAATAATTTTAAAAAATAAGTACCACCCTAATACATACATATAACAATATACTACTAAATAATTTAATAATTCTATAATAAATTTTAATAAAACGTTACAATTTAAGTCAATATACCCATTTTAGATTCAAGTAAAGCGAATTTTGCAAATTTTCCTATGATAGAAAAGTTGTCCACTGAAAAAAAAACATCTTTTAGTAAAACCATAAGTTATTTCACTTCACTCAGAATCTAAAATGACAATTAAGAGTTTTTTCTAATTTAATCATTTAATAAATTATATTTGATTAATATATTATATGAGTCACACTGTAATGTATCAAATAAATTAAAATAAAAATGATGTATAATTTATTAAAGAATGCAAAATTAAGTTAAATCACTTGGTTTCTATATTATTATGCATTCATGTGGAACATTTATTGATAAAAGCTTGATTTAGTGGTGAAAATACTGGAGTGATTTATGTTTCATTTTTTTTCCTGAACTGGTCCACCTTATATATTAAGTCAGAATTAGGTATTTCTATGCTGCAACCCAAGGTATTTTACCTTTACCAGGTTGCTTTTACCAGCATATTCTATTTGTTTTCGGTACAACTAATCTTCTAACAAAATACATTTATAATAATTTATTTTTCTACAAAAATAATTTTTTAGTCAAATATTTTTCTGCTCGAATAATTTTCAAACATTTAATTTCTACCGAATTATTTTTCATTATTTTCAAATAAAATAACGGTTATCGGTCTTGTAATTGATAGGTACCCGAATATAAAACTATTATTGTCGGGATCACTCAGAGCGGGACCAGACAATAACAGCACTACTGGTTTGTGTAAATTGGTACTAACTAAAGATATTGACATTGTAAGCACGATACTAAAAGCTTTAGAATTATTTGAAAAATAATTACAAGTCATATTCAAAGTATCCAATGAACTTGTTTAGATTCTGAATGAAACGAAGAAACTTATGGTTTTCCAAAGATATTTCTTTTTTCTTTTTGTGGACAATTTTTCTACCAGAGGGCTTGCTCCGATTTTTACGTGTAGTAATTTTACTAAAAGGAAATTAATGTGGAGAGATACTTTTTCTCAGCAAATGTGAAAAACTGGGAAAAAACATAGGTAAACCGGGAAAAACGTAATATAAAATATTAAACAAATATTATTCAAGAAAATATATAGAGTCTATTTAATTATTTTACTATAATAATATAGAATATAATATATTGTTGACAAAGCATCACTATAAACTGAACTCTGCTCAGAGTCGTAAACATTTTTCGTAAACTCAGAAACGTTTTTTCGTAAGCAATGGTTTTTCGTTGCTTACAGGTATATATTAAATTACCTATAACAGTGGCTGCATCGTTATCTGCATCGTGACTGCCATTGATTATAAATCAATAAGTAATCAATGGTACTACCTATGATAATTAGTAAACAAATTAAATTTGCGGGGATATATTTGACCATTCACTACAGAGTTTTAATTATGAATAATATGATCAAATATTTGATCGTCTGAACCATTTTTCAAACAAATGTTCAAAGTTGCCATTCGTCAAATATTGCAGTTATTGTATTACTTATAATATAAAGTCATATTGTAGTACTAACTGCTGTTGGTCAATATAAAAAAAAAAAACAAATTTGTATTATAATAAAAATGAAACATACCTTTTTTACAGATGGTAAAGTATCAACTTTGTTAATCAAATTATGTTAACTTTTCGGTGAATATTCCACCTTTTTTTGAATTAATGACTTATAATAGTCACAACTATGAAAATGTCGAGAACATTTTTTTTTCGAATAGTTAGTTACACAGATATAATATAAATAGAAATATTATACAATAATTACATATAAAATATTATCTACTCACCATTATACATATTTATACTGGTACAAATTTTAATTATACAATTATAAAAGATAACATGAACATTGACATATTAAATAACAACCTAGACGGTAAAAATTATATTGATTTAATTAATGAATATGGATTCACAAGTCTTATCAAATATAGAACAAGACTTAATGAAAGAGGTGGATCTTCTCTTGATCATGTTTTTATGAAATCTAAATCATTATCTAATGTAAAATCTTCTGTTACACACATGACATTAACTGACCATTTTTCAATAGCCACCAATATTAGCAATCTTATTTTCAACTGAAATAATCCACCCAACCCAAAAACAATAAAACAATTACACTACTCTACGTTTCCACTGGCATTAAGTAACTATAATTGGTCCTCAATAATCGAGAACTATCGTTTAATACTTTATGAAAACAAAAATAACTAACTGGCTGCAAAATGAACGAATTTAAAATTTTTTAATATTTGTTTGTATTTAATCTAATTGTTTGCATATTTATTTTAAGAAACTGTATTATACATTAAGTCTCCATATATTAATATAATTGTTACCTACATTGTATATGCTTAAGTTCTAAGTCTAAAATTGTAAAAAAAAAAAGTTAAATTTTAATTATTATTTAAATGTGATGTTTCCTTATTAGAAATTGTGAACTCATAGGCCCCACACAAACCTGTTCAGTAGAGCCCATTATCTTTTTAAGAAATAAACAATAATAATAATAAAACTTGTCCACATGATGTAACCCATTTCTTCTATAACATAATCCTATTTTCAGGAGACTTAGATGCCTTACAAGTTGCTTCTGCACATTTATACATATTAGGAGTCAATGGATTTACAGGTACAATAAATAAAATGAAACAACTTGACAATGGTCTTTTTTTCTCGTGTCAGGCACACCATTAAGTAGATACAATTCTTTAACATGAAAGGTATATATATTTATAGATATAAACTAAAATATAAATATAAATATAAAATAGACAAAAAATAAAATAGCTAATAAAATTAATATAAATAAAATAAAATAGAAAAAAAAACAGATTAAAATAATTCAAAGTCAAATAAAAAGGTAAAGGTAACTAAATCTCGTTTTCTGCTTCATATGATTTCAGTCCAAAAACTATCTACGTTTATAGCGTTATTATTTGCATTTATGATGTCATCTTGTATTCAGGAGTAAGGACAGATTGGGCATTGCATAATATGTTTCATTGATTGTTCCATCTTACATTCACAAGTTGTAGTTTTTACTTCAAGTAGTCCCCATTTCTTCATATTATCCTTGGTGCGTTCAACTCCTGTTCTCATTCGGTTTAATGTTCTCCAGATGGGCCATTCTAATTGATTACCTGATAATAACACTACGATGGGGACCCATATTTTGTCTCTAATTTGGTTTGTCCATTGCATAACTCTTTCCTGTTCCTTAATTTTTGTCAGGCATTTCGTCTTTTTTAGGAAACTGTTTCTCGATTTTAGCGGGAAATTATTTGTTTCAATTGCATGCATTCAATTTTATTTACTCATTTATTAGTATTTTATATTATAGGTACCTCATAATATAATATAGCTTAGAAGTAATTTTTTTAAGAGGCTCCCCAAAAATTCTATCTTGGATCCGCCAAAAGAAAAACAAAATTATTTGAACTATGAGCTAATCGTTGACATTTTTCATTGATTGAAACAATTGCTTGAACAGTTATAGGAAGAAAATATTCTAAATAGAATTTTTTTTCTGCTTTTTCAGGCGCAATATCTGCTGATTCGTATGTATGAGGACATTTTTTTTTAGAGTGCCTTTTTCAAATTCAATTAATATTTAATTTTCTTTAAAATTCTTTTGCGATATATTTTGAAGATTCAAATCCTTTTATTCTAAAATCTTTTCGGAATGTTTTCAGACCTCTCAAAAATTTAACTGTTACACTCAACTCTAAATTTTTACTTTGAAGGCTTTTATTGGCTTTATTTATTGAAAACAGAAGCTTATACCAAATAACCATAATAAAAACAAATTCGAAAGTAAATTCATGGAATTTGATTTTCTGCAATTATTCGAGATTGTACTCTTTTATACTTTCTTATCATATTTGCCCCAATATTGTATGTTTGGCCTCGACAATCTTTTAAATTATCCAAGGCAAATTCATTAAGTTGTGATTTTAATTCTTCAGTTAAACTAATTCCAGTTGTACTAATTATATGAATAAAACGTGTAAGATATTCGCAAATTTTAGATTTATTATTATTGTCCGAAACCTCAACAATAATGTTTAAAACATTAATGTGAATGGGAAATTTACGAAAATAATGTTTTTATTGTTTATTTAATTTTGTTATTTGTTTTAGATAACTATTAAAGACTTCCGATAGTCTTTTATACTATATATACCTACCTATATTAACCTATATTATTTCACAGCTGCGGCTGGTAGCAATATAATTAATTTGTTAAAATTTTCGGCATTGTGATTGTTCAGCTACTATTGTGTTTAAAATAATATAATATGGTATGCAAGGTACCTAGTAATTACGTGTTCTTCATTAAATGTCATGTACTAATGTTTGTTTTAAAATTTCAGCGGTGATGCAGATGGAGAAACATAGATAACAAGTACCTGATTTTTTCTAAGGCACGTTTTATTATAATAATTATATTTTAATTTTTTTTATACGTATCTTGTCTTTATGAGAATTTGATCAAACTTTTATTTTGCATTTTTCGCTGTTTTTCATTATTCAATTTTTTTTTTTTTTTTTTCTAAGACGACGTATCATAAAACGATATTTTATTTATTTATGTATATTTTTTTTTGGATATATTTAGGACATCGAATTCCGGCTTTAATATAATCTATAGGTAACGAATTATTTTGAAGTTTAATTTCACGAAAATCGGGTCAAAATAACTGGTGAATTCATTTACAGTTTAACGTGGCGTGGTGTCAAAAAAATACGAATTCGATGTAGCGGCGCGAAATTCTACGGCAATAATGTTTTCTGAATAGTTTTAAGAGAAATTTTATCGTATAAATCATAAACAATCATCATACATATAAAAAAAAAAATAACAAATAAAGTTAGTTTTATTCTATTCACACACGAATACGAATATTTATATCACGATTTTCTTTATGACCTGCATACCTACCCCTTAGAGTGTTTTGCGCTTAAACTCGACGGATCATAATACATATTGTATAAAAAATTCTTTTTTTCTTTTTCAAACGAGACTATATACCTATAAAATGTGGCGGCAATGACGCCGCATGATGAGAATTCGATTATAATTATTATTGGATGACGAATTCTATATACGATAGGTTCCATTATAATCCCCACGGATGGACGGTCGCTCAACACCGGATTTTAACGATTTCTTGAAAACATACAAAGATTATTAATGGATTTTTATACTGATATTTTATTTTTTTTTTTTTACGTATAATACAGAGTGATTGTTTTATTATAAACCAGTTATTCTCTTGAAAGATTTTAAGTGAATTAAATTTCTGTTTGAATTTAACCATTATAGAATCGTTTAAGCTTTTTGATTATGTTTGGAACAAAGAAGCTTACACTTTTTACAAAGATGTTTATTTTAATTTTTTTTTTTTATTTTATATGCGTAACTTTTTTACCAGAAAACTAGCTTGGATTTCTATGTATACACCTTTTCTGAAAGAAAATCGGCACGGGGAGGTACTTTAAGGAGGTAATTTTTCGATTTTCTCAAGGTTTTCCTCGTCAAATTTGAAAAACCGAAAATAAAACGGAAAAATGTAGAAAATATATGACTAAAGTATTACGATTTTTTTTTCATGTGCACAACTTTTCTATCAGCAATTTGGTTCCAACTTTTAATAATACTTATGTTTTTAAAAAGAAATTACACTAGCAAAGTTATATTTCAATTTTCTTATTAAATTTGAAAAACCCAAAAAAAAAAAATGGAAAATTATAAGGAATGTAGTTAAAATATATTACGGCCTTCTTTTTTTCTGTGCACCAATTTTCTACCAGCACTTTTGCTCCGACTTTTAATGGTAGTGTTAGGACCATCCGGTCTAATATAATAGATGTAATAAAACGTAGTCATTAGTATTCAATTGATATTGCATCCGGAAGACCTCGATTGTATTTTGTTATGTTATCATTTTGTGTTGTAAGTAATTAATTAATATTATATAGCGTAATAAGGAAAAGTAGCACAGATATGTACTTAGAATAGTAACTGCCTAAATTAAAGGTTCTTGAGGTATATAAAGGGAACGCAAGGGACACTAGTCAACCAATCTTAACCGAGTGTGAGACAAGTACCTATGTATGTATCATATCTGTGTAAGTAACAAATTGAGTTTAGCACAATTGTTCTTTATTTTCATAAGTTTATAATCCAAATCCTTACAAACTCGTTCTGAGTCTACTTGGCTCATAACAGTAGCAATATTTCTAAAAGGAAATTTCACTACCAAGATACTTTGGAGAGGTTATTTTTCGATTTTCCCGGGAGTTTTCTCATCAAATGTGAAAAACCAGGATAAAACATGGGAAAACCGGAAAAAACGTAGGAAAACTAGGAAAATCGGTATATCATTAAGCAAATATTATTTAAAAAATTATATATAACTTATTTAATTATTTTACTACAATATGACATATATGTTGTTGATAATGCATCACTATCAACTAAATTTCGTTCAGAATCGTTTTTTTTTTTTTCAGTGGTTTATTGATGCTTATAGATACACATTAAATTATCTATAATAGTTGCTGTACCCTTCCCTATTATTCTAGGACGTCTTTTTTTAATATTGTTTTCAATTTTTACCAATAGTTCTATTGTAAATGAAATGATTATGTACTTTTGATTTTTATACAGCAACCCCTTTTTCAATCAAAAATTTAAATAGAAAATATTTTGTCTAGACATTTCGATATGCATAACACTAATATCACATTTATCTATCGTGTAAGAGTTTTATAGTTTAAATTTTAGACCAGAAAATTAAGAAAGAGTTATCAATTTATTACTTTAAAATAGATAATATGCAATTTATTATCCTTTCCTACTCTTTCGGTTTAATCTTTAAACGGTTATAACTCAAAAACGGTAAATCTTATATTAGTATTACGCATTTAAAAATTCCAAGAAAAATATTCTCTGTTCAAAGCTGTGTTCAAGAAGCGGCGTTCCCATTTGTAAACCAAAAGTATAAAGTTATTTAAGGTAAATAGAATAGGGGAAATAGTTAAAAATGATTTTCAACTTAAACGATTCCACTATGATTAAAAAAAAAAAGAAATCAAATTCATTTTAAATCTTTGGAGAAATTGTTGGTTCATGATAAAAAAAAAAAAATCACCCTGTATATGATGTATGCAGTGACGCAGTTACGTTCGTGTCGGTACATTTTAGTTTTTTTTTCTTTTGATCCGCAGTCCCGAGAATCTTTACAGGTAGATAATAATATATAATAACGGCGTGTTGCAGCTGTCGATCGCCGTGAAAAATATGTCACCAAAATGCCGACGCCACCGCCGACTGTGCCGTATATATTAAACCTGGTCTATTGTAAAGATTTTAAAATATTTTTATAATATTCGAATACCTAAAATGAATTCGGCAAGTCGGAGCGTTCAGACTTTATTTTTTTTTTTACCTGGACATTCCATTGTTGTAGAGGTTTAAACGCATTTCGAAAATCAATAGGTATTATGCATTTCTAAAGAATATTGGGCACAATAAGGTTTTTAGAAAAAAAAAACCCTGGTATCCCTTAGGTACCTGTACATTTTAATAAAATATAAAAGGTATTCTTTTTTTTTTTTTTTAAATTAAATCGGGTATGCTTTTATAAAGTCACGTTTTGGTTCATTTCTTCAAAGAAAAAAAAAAAGAAAACATTTATTTGTATTTTTTTTCGGTTATACGCTCGTAGTGCGTAAACATAATAGAAATAGGTACATAACGAATTGTAGTTTTATACTGCCCGCCAAAGCGAAAATTTAGTCTGTATCTACTGTATATTACTCTATTAATTATATCTGGTGTGTATGAGCGTTTTTCTCTATGATAGTTACTATAGCGGTAAATGCAACGCCGACTATCATTTTAATGTCTATCATCGTATTTATTGATTACTCACTTACTATTGATTACTATTGATTATTTACTCGATTTTATTGAAAATATTATTTTTAAATTCGACATAAATTCATTTTTATATATACATACTTACCCAAATAATTATAAACTATTGGCAAATTTGAATCGTTATAAACAATATACAGGTTGAATTTTATATTATGATCTAGAGATTATTGTTAACAAAGATTTTGAGTAAAATTGATGTTGATATTTTCAGGCAATAAAATACTTATAAATTCGTTGAAAATTAAATACATAACAATTAATTAACATAATTTCAAAGTTCTACTCTTATACGGTATACCATAAATTCATATTCACTTTTGATAATCATTTAGCAACCCCTCCTTTTCAATCC